AGCGCCACCTTGCAGTTTGCATCAAGTTTGTCACTTTGTAATAATGAACTGCAGCTAATTATCACTTCCCTGGCCATCCCCCCTGAGTTTGCAAGCCAGTCAATAGAGAGGAGCACCCGCTGGTCCCGGGTGCTTTATGTGCTGCAGTGGAGGCTCTTGCACAAACATCACAGGATGTGACCAGGAGCTGCGGCATATGTCCCTCCCCACTGCCTTGTGCCCAGGGACACTGCGCGTGGCCATGTGGTGTGGGTAGGGAGGCAGCTCGCGGTCAAGATAAGCTCTGTAGCTGGCTTGGCTGTGTGTCTTGAGAAAGGAGAGGGCAGGTGGTGCTGTGGGTTTTGCCTCCACCCGGGTCAGAGCTGGGCAGCATGCTGGCTGGGTTCAGTTTCTGGGTGTCGTTGGGTCCATGGCATTGTCCTGTGGTCCCTTCCAGGAGTGACGTCTCCACTTCCTTAGACAGCCTGGCCTCCTGGGAGCTTCAGCTGTGTCAGTTCTGCATTTTCAAACCAAATGGGGTTGTGCAAGTTGAGATTGTCCCTGATTATGTCTTGGGCCATGCCTCGGTGTGTGCTGCCTGGGTTTCTGTAAGTTTAATAACAACACTGGGGTTTGCAACTGGCCTCGCTCCATCCCCTCCGCTCTGAAGGAAAGGAAGAGGTGAAAGCAGGTTTGTGGGGGCAGACCATGGTGTGCTTCTGCCTGTCCCAGTTGCTCTGGATACTTCTCTGTGTTTACCCCCCTGCCCTGCCAGCTTCTCCGACACCAGGCACTGTCACCGGGCAAAGCCACGTGAATTATTTGAGACGCTGTCCTGCGCCCAGCTCCGAGTAGCACCCTCCTGGATAGCACCCTCCCCACAGCCCTGCCAGCGGGGCTTCTCTGGGAAGATGGATTTCCTGCCGCTATCACGGCTCCCACACCCCGGCGAGGCAGCCCTGCGAAACAATGCCGCTATTTACACTTTAAAGCCTCGTTAGGCAGCCAGGAAGCAGCAGGCAGGGTGCATGCCGGGAAGCAGCGACAGCCTGTAGCCAAGGCTAGCCCCTCTCCTTCGCCGCCGGGCTGCTGGGAGGAGCAGGATGCTCCCTGGCTGAGCTGTAACCCTGCGGCCTCTTTCAAGCCCTGTTTCTTCATTTATCTTTTATTTATTTATTTATTTATTTTAGCCTCTGGAGTCCCTGCCTCGTTGCTGAGCTTTGCTGCTTGTGCAGAAAGTGTGTTGGCTGCCTGGCTGGGGATGGCTCCTCTCTGGGACAGGGAGCACCAATTCCTGCTGGTGGCTGCAGGTGTAGAAGCGAGATGCCGGAGCCGCTCTGCCTTTGTCCTCTGTCCTCAGCAGCTCTTTGCTCTCTGCTGGCAAGACAGAGCGAGGGAATGCAGGCAGGTGCTTTTCTCCCTGCCAGACACCAGGAAAGGCTCTGTGTGTCCCCTGCTCAGTCAGGCAGCTCCCTGGCTGGCACTCATCTCAGCTCATGGTGCCCAGCTGTCACCTGGCTGTTGCAGCTCTGTGAGGTGCCTGCCGTGCTCTTAGCTGCTTGGGAAACCTGACGTTCCCCAGCTCTGGGGATTTGGTTAGGGTTTTAACTGTTACTGCTCAGGCAAACCTGCCCGGCAGTGAACCAGAAGAGTTTTCCCCACGGGACTGGCAGCTCGCAGGCAGGGAGAGCGGAAGAAAAGGCAAGCAGAGGGTTGGGCAGTGCTGGACTGTACATGAGTCACTGACAGAGCACCCGCCTTCCCTTCCCTGGGCACCCACTTGCCTGGAGCTGCTTCCTTGCCCAAGCTCTTGAGGCAGCTCCCTGTGGTGCTGGCCGGCTCCATCCTGCCCTGGGCAGGAATCTGGCCTCGGCAGAGGATGCTGAGCTGGGGCATTCCTCCACGGGGTTCCCTTCTCCCGTGCCTCCCTGCTGAGGAGCAGTTGTGGGGCCACCCACCTGGTCATGGGCACCGCATTGTTTGCCCAGATCTGCCTGGGCCAATAGCTCACAAACTGCAGGTCAGCCTGATTTTTTCCCATGCCGACCACGCATGTGTTTCTGCAGCACTGGGTGAGCACCTGAGGACAGCCATGGGCAGCCTCTCCTGTCAGCTCGGGGTCTGCAGGGACATCTCACGTCCGGCTGCCAAGCAGCTTCCTAGCTTGTGCCCAGCCTGCCCAGATCCTGCCTGGATCCTCTGTGCAAAAAGCAGGAAGCAGAGCAGGGATGTGGGGAGGCATTGGCTGGGGCCAAGCGCTGGGCTTGGCTTGGGAAGGGCTGCATCTTGCAGGTCTGGGTCACTGAACCCAGTGGTGTGGGGCTTGCAGGGAGCTGGGGCAGCGTGGAGGGGTGAGGTGGTGATGGCGGAATCTCCCAGACAAGGTGGTGTGACCCATGTGTGGGTCAAAGTTGGTGTTGCTGCTGCTCCTGTAATTGCATTATTTCGTGTAATGTGTGTAGTATGAGTGTCTACAGTGAGAGCAGAATTTGAACAGCCTGTATCAAATCCTAAGGCTATTGTTAGTGTTATTTAAAACCACTGAATCCAATAACATTTTACGCTGCATTAAAAATAATACCTGGTCAGGATGCTGGTGTTGCTGAGGTCACCTAACAGGCTTCTCTCCACTCCTCTAGATCCTGAGATAGGTCACTCAGTGAAGCCCCGAAAGCAGGTTGTGTCTGTATTAACCTGCTTGGGAAGGCCCAGGGTGGAAATGGATGCTTGGGTTGGAGCAGCAGGCTGACGTGTCTGCTGTCCCACCTTCAGGAGCAGGGGGCTAAGGAAGAAGCAGAATGGATAGAGGGTGATGTGTCCCCCTGGTCTCACCAGCCCAGGAGACCTTCCTGCACCCCAGGAAGCAAGATGGGAACTGAGGAGAGCAAGAAGTCTTGGGAACTTTTTCCTCCCATCTCATCAGTGAATAAAAACAAAGCATCAGAGGACAAGACCTGCTGAGTCAGTTTTTTTTCCTTCTCTCCTCGAGGACATGGTGACCAGAAACAAGCAGTTCAGCTCCCCGTCTCCAGCCACTGCTGTCTGCCTAATGAATTAGTTTGTTTTCAACAGAAGACATGTGCTTTTGGGAAGTTTTCTATGCATCAAGCACACTTCGACATCATATCATTTAACAGTAGTCCAGAGGAAATGGAAATTCTGTGTTTCTAGTGCAATTCTGATTGAATGATAATTTCCATTAGACACAAGCTGACAGCGATTAAAGTAGAAGGAAAAAATTCCCTTGTACCAGCACCAACCTCCCTATTAAAAAAATTTTTATCTATGAAAACATTAGGTAAGAGCACGGGGCCAACGTTGTTAGCAGCCGTATGAGAAATTGTGCTGTGCCCCATTTATCATCACTGCAGGCAGGCAGGAGTGGGAGCGGCCGGGCTGGCTCCAGCCCCACGGGACTGGTGTGTCCTGGTGGGTGCTGGGGAGAGGCTGAGTTTGGCTGCCACGGGGAAGCACAGTGAAAAGGCACCACGGCCCCAAAAAGACAAGAATCAAGGAGTGAAATGCAGTTTTCCTCTGTTGCAAGTTGGGATTTAACGCTGGCAAGGTGACTCCATTTTTGACCAGCCCTTGCTGGCTCAGCTGTGTGTGCGATCCCTGTGACTGCGGGCTTGGGGTCCCAGGCAGCTCGGCAGGGGTGATGGTGATGCCCTGGTCATTCAGACTCTTGTGCTGGCTAACAGGTCACAACGAGCTGGACATCTTGGGTCCCAGTGCTGGTGGTACCACTTTACTTAACCCTAATGCTGTTTGCTGCGCTCCTGCACCCATCGCAGCATAGTGGTTGCTCTGATCCTGGGTCCTTCCCCACAGGTGCAGTGGTGCCTGGTGCCTCCCGAATGCTTCCCTCCACTGCTGGCCTCGCTTTCTGCAGCACCGGGCAGCAATTCTGGCAGCTTGTGGGCGTTGGGAAGTGCCCGGCCCTGGGCTTCATGTGGGTGGGTGGCCCAACGGGGATCCCGCTTTGGCTCCAGCTGCAGCCAGCAGCACAGTGGGGCTGGCTTCGGGGCCCCCACCTGCGGCACGGTGCGGGGAGACATGCCTGTGTGTGGCAGGGCCGGCTGAGCCGGTGGAGCCGGAGCTGCCTGGCAGCCCGCCCGCCGCTGCACCCCATCCATGTCAGCCCGGCTGCCCGGCTGCCCGCCAGCAGGGAGCCGCGTGCCTCGGCAGCGCCCGGGCACAGCGTGCTGGGTCCTGCCAGCCACGGGGCGTGCCGGGGCTCCCGCGGGGCTCGGGGAGGGGTGCTGGCAGCAGATGCTCCCGGGAATCTGCCCTAGCGGTGGGAGGGGGCCAGTGAGCATCAGAGCCCCTGGCTGCCCCTTGGGAGTGTGGCTGGATCTGGCAAGCATCCCCGTCTCTTGCTGGCCTGCCCGGGGGGGGGTCCCAGGCTGCTTTCAGGGATGGGTGCTGGCTTGCACATGTTGCATGCCCGGTTGCACACCCTATTCCACTCCATGGTCCTCTGAGCTCCCCATCCTTTGCCCCGGTGCTGCAGGGGGCAGCAAGGCACTGGGGTGGTTTGATCAGGGCTGGGGGCTACTGGTGTGTGGGATCTTTCCATCCACCTGGAGCCGAGTGGCCACTGGCCTGCCCAAGTGGCAGATGGTAGCTGCCTGGGGACCCGCCATCCATCCCTCCGGGTGATTATTCACCCGTCACCATGACGATAGAAAGGTCAGCGAAAAGATCCTGTGTGATTCCCGGGTCGGGTTGTTGGGATTAGGAGCAGCGCGGGAGGGAGGGCTAGGGGGAGGATAGGGCCCAGCCAGCCCCCCCTCCCTGCTCACCAGCTGGACTGTTCCCCTCGGGCACCATCCCCAGAGCCTGGCCAGCTGAGAACTGAGAAACTCCAGGCACCAGTGGGAAATCCCCAAGACCGTGCTGGGCCCCTTTGGCTGCTGATCCTGAGAGCTTGGCCCTGATTCTGTGGCTCCCATCCTGCATAGGGGAGACCTGGAGCTGTGTGTGGGGTGAGGAGGCTGGCCTGGCATCAGGGACGAGCAGAGGAGGAATGGGGTTGTGCTGATGGGGGCCTGGCTGGTCCTTCCTCCTCCTCCTCCTCCCTCCTCCTCCTCACATCAGGGTGTCCCTCCTTGCAGCATGCCCCCAGCTGACCTGTGTGTCCTCTCTCTCTCTCCAGGCTGTTCCTCTAAGTCATTCAAGCTGTACTCGCCAAAGGAGCCCCCGAACGGCAACGCCTTCCCCCCCTTCCACCCGGGCACCATGCTGGATCGAGATGTGGGGTGAGCTGGGACCTGGGGAGGGATCTGCAAGGTTGGGGGTGCTTTGCAGTCTGCACTCCAGGGTCTCTCTGTCAGGCTTCTCAGCAGTGTATGGAGACTGTGGCACATGGAGTTGAGTTAGCACAAGGGGAGAGAGAAGCAGGCATGGGTGGGACTGGGTGGAGAAAGGGCAATATTTGGCATTAAAGGGAGCCCCACGATCCCCAAGGTCTGTGGGGCCAAGCCCCTTGCCAGGCCAAGCCCCTGGGGTGACCCAGGGCAGGTTGCACTCCCAGTTCCTGACAAAACAGTCCCTTCTCCAGCCTGTGTTCTGCCTGGCACCAGCCCCAGCTGCAAATGAGCCAGGCACATCCCTGGAGAGCTGTGGGTCCAGGAGTGGTGGATCAGCCATCAATGTGGGAGCAAAGCCCAGTTTCAGGGGTGTAGGTCATCCATGAGGCTGTCAGATAGCAGCAACCGGGGTACAGCCCACACCACACCTGGGGTCTCACCTCCAGCGAGCCTGACTGCCTGCTGCTGTAGGCGGGGAATGGGGAGCTGTGGTGGGCAGGGAGGGAGATCCCCACCAGCACTGACCTGCCTGCATCTTTCCCCCCACCAGACCTACTCCCATGTACCCACCGACGTACCTGGAGCCTGGAATTGGGTAAGCACAGGGGGCTGGCGAGGACCCTGCTGGGAGGGGAGCTTGTGCCCATGGTGGGGATGCCTTGGCAGGGCCAGCACACTGCTGGCTGGGGTTTGTGGGGGGTTGCTCAGACTCTTCCCAGCCCGGGAGGGGCTGTGTGTCCCCCACCATGGGCTCGGGACCCTTTCCCACCCCCTGGCTGCCTCCCTCTCTGACTGTTTGCTCTGCTCTCTGGGCAGGAGGCACACGCCGTATGGGAACCAGACCGACTACAGGATATTTGAGCTCAACAAGAGGCTGCAGAACTGGACAGAGGTGGGGAGTGAGGCGTGGCCAGGGGTGGCGGGACACTCCCAGGGGTGTATTTTGGGGATGGGGTCCTCTGTGTTGCTTGCCTTCACGAGCTGCCTTGGCTCTGGGAGGAGCCCTTGTCATCAGGGTCCTTACCCACTGTGCAGGTCCCTGAGTGCCTTGTCCTTCGCTTCACCATGGGACAGGGCTCATCATCCCCATCTCTGAGTGCTCAGCTGGAGCTCAGTCCTCCATGGGCTGAGCACGTGGCTACTGTGCCTGGCAGCCAGCGTCTGTCTGTCTGTCTGTCTCCTCCTCCCCATAACCTAGCATCTCTCCACTGTCCCCAGGAATGTGACAATCTGTGGTGGGACGCCTTCACCACAGAGTTCTTCGAGGATGACGCCATGTTAACAATCACTTTCTGCTTGGAGGATGGACCAAAGAGATACAGTGAGTACCAGATCGAGCCCGCTTTCCACAGGACATTGCCTCTCTGGGAGGCGATGTGGTAGTTGTGCTGCTGGCAGGGGGATGCTGGCAAGGTGTCAGAGCTCAGCTGCCTCCAGGTGATGGGGACTGGGGGGCCCCTCCTTGTGCAGCCTCAAGGCACATCTGGGTGAACCAGGTCTACTGACATTATCTTCCTCCTTCTCCCACTCCAGCGATCGGCCGGACTCTGATTCCCCGTTACTTCCGCAGCATCTTTGAAGGGGGGGCCACAGAGCTCTACTACGTGCTCAAGCACCCCAAGGAGTCCTTCCACAACAACTTTGTCTCACTGGACTGTGACCAGTGCACCATGGTCACCCAGCACGGCAAGCCCATGTTCACCCAGGTACCAGCTGCACCCGCGGCTCCTTGTGCCCCTCGTGCCTTGGCCCAGTGTGTCCTCGCGGTGGATGCGGTCCCACGGGGCCGTTGTGGGCTCATGGGTTTGGCTTGTGCTGAGTCTCATGGCTGGCAGGGGCAAGCCACCAGGAGGGTGTTCCAGTGCGCAGCAGTGGGGTCCCGGTGCGCAGCAGTGGTGTCCCAGGGGATCTGGGCTGGGGGAAGTGGCGTCAGGCTCTTCTTGACCCTGTGCCCTGCCCAGGTGTGTGTGGAGGGGCGGCTCTACCTGGAGTTCATGTTTGACGACATGATGAGGATAAAGACGTGGCATTTCAGCATCCGCCAGCATCGAGAGCTCATCCCCCGCAGCATCCTTGCCATGCATGTGAGTACTACTCGGGGAGCCCCCCCATGGTATGAGTGACACCGGGTGGCTGAGCAACTCTGTGCTGTGCAGGGTTAGGGGAGCTTTGACCCTGTCCCCTCATTGCAGGCCAGGGCACAGGAGGGCTGTCCCCAGCCCAGATGCGGCTGAGCCATCTGTCCTTCTCTCTCCTAGGCACAGGACCCCCAGATGCTGGACCAGTTATCCAAGAACATCACCCGCTGTGGGCTCTCAAATTCCACACTCAACTACCTCCGAGTAAGTGTGCAAGGAGAGGGGACACAAAGCTCTGATGCTGGAAGGGGACCTTGGGTGGCCACATCTTGTGCTCTCAGCTGCCCTGGGGTGTGGGGAGGCAGCAGGGCAGGCTCTGCAAGAGGGGTCTTGCAGCTGGGCTGCAGAGAGCTGTGGGGCAGTGGGTTTGCCAGAGCCTGCAGGCTCCCAGCATGGCCTGGGTTGGTGCAAGGCAGCCAGCTGCCTGCCAGAGGGGCTTTTGCTGGGACCTGGAGCATCATGATCTAACCCTGTGTCTGTCTGCTCCCTGCAGCTCTGTGTAATCCTAGAACCAATGCAGGAGCTCATGTCACGGCACAAGACCTACAGCCTCAGTCCCCGGGACTGCCTCAAGACTTGCCTCTTCCAGAAGTGGCAGCGGATGGTCGCTCCGCCTGGTGAGTCTCATGCTGCCCACAGGTCTTCGGGGCTGCCCACTCAGGCCCTGCCCTCAGTTCAGGCTTTTTGCAGCTCCAGAGCTTGTCCCTGGCCTTGTCTTGTGAGTCTGGCAGCCGGCTTCCTTCTCTGCTGGCCTGCCTTCCTGCCGGGGCGGAGCGGGGCTGTAGGCAGCCGGTGCTCCCTGCCTGCGGGCTTCCAGCTGCCCGTGGAAAGCAAAGCAGGGATGGAAATCTTCCTGCACCCCCTCTGTCCCCTGCGCTGGGGGGATGGTGAAGCTGTGGAGGGGAGGAGGGTGGTGATGCCACCTTGGAGGGGGATGTTGTCCTTGTAGAGGAGGGGCGTTTGCAGATCAGGGGCTGGGGGGCACTGGCTCCTTGTCGGGACTGACCGTGTCTCCTTCCTCTGCCAGCGGAGCCAGCACGGCAGCAGCCCAGCAAGCGCCGGAAAAGGAAGATGTCGGGGGGCAGCACCATGAGCTCCGGCGGGGGGAACACCAACAACAGCAACAGCAAGAAGAAGAGCCCAGCCAGCACCTTTGCCCTGTCCAGTCAGGTACCTGTAAGCATCCCGTTTCCATTCTCTCTTCCTCCCCTGGGGTGGAGGGGAGGGCTCCCTGCCCCAGCTCCCGGGAGTGACTAGGGCAAGACCCCTGGGGACTGCCTGTCCAAGCCCCCCGGCTCTCTCCAGGTGATGGGAGGAGGCAGTTGTCTCAGCTTCCTTCCCTGAGCTGCTTTGTTACCCTGTGAGGGGGTAAGGATGTGCTGCCCAAGCCTCAGGTCCTGTGATTGAGATGAGGAGGTGGCCCTGTGGCTGGGGGAAGGGTCTGTGGTGCTGGGGGGGTCTGGCGGCCCGGGCTCCCCCCACCTCGATTATGTTTCGGGACCGTCTCCCCTTTCAGGATGTGATGGTGGTAGGCGAGCCCACGCTGATGGGGGGGGAGTTTGGGGATGAGGATGAGCGGCTCATCACCCGGCTGGAGAACACGCAGTTTGACGCCGCCAACGGCATCGACGATGAGGACAGCTTCAACAACTCGCCAGCGCTGGGGGCCAACAGCCCCTGGAACAGCAAACCGCCCTCCAGCCAGGAGAGCAAGTCAGAGAACCCCACGTCGCAGGCGTCGCAGTAACAGCCCCCCCGCTGCCCCGTGGACTCAGTCCCAACCGATCTACCTGTACATTTGCAATGGAGAGTGACTGGGAAGCGGCGAGGTACCGGGGGCAGATCGGCTCCGTGCGGCTGAGGGGGTGCACGGCCCAGGGCGTGCGCCAGGCGAGCAGCCCCCAGCCCTCTCCCCCCACCGCCTCCCCACTCCCCCCACGCCTGCCTCCCCGCCGGACCCCAGGGCAGGGGTGGGTTTCCGGGGCCGTAGCTTCGTTATTTGCCCTTCTCCCTCTTCCTCCCTGCTTCTTCCCCGGAGAACTTCTCATTCCCTGCCCATGTGCCCAGCCCCTGCCTGCTAAGCGGGGGGAGTTAGGAGGGAGGTGTCAGCAGTGTCTGGCGCAACTGGGAAGCCGGTGGTGTGCAGATGCTGTGTGTTGGGGTCTGGCACAGCCCAGAGACCCTCCTCTCTTCCTCTTCCTCCTCCTCCTCTCCAAGTCCTGCGGTTGGGGTTTGCTGGACAGCTACCTGCAGCGGGGTTGCACGTCTCCAGCCCGACCTGGGGCTGGGCTGGGCAGGGGGGGCAGTGATGGAAAGCCTTCCGTGTGCTGCCGGCTGTGCCACAGAGCCTCCTCTGGCCGGGGTCGGATCCTGCTGTGCTGGGGTGGTGTCGAGGATAGGGCCCCCCGTCGCATTTCCCCGCTCTCCCTCCCCTTCCCCTCACTCCCCAGGGGCAGGAGCACAGCAGGGCCATGGGGGGACTCTGTATATAGGAAGTGCGTTGCGGGGGGGCTTGGGAGGCTGGGAGGGGGCATGGAGGACCCACAGCTCTGCCAGAGCAGCCGGTGCCCTGGCTCCCTGCCCGCAGCCCCTGTGTTTCCCCCTGCTCTGTGTGAGTCTGCCTGGGGCCCCTTTGCAACCCCTGGCTCCTGGTACCTCCTACTTTTGTCTTTTTTTAAGAAAAAAAAATAATATTATTAAAATTGTAAGTTTGAAAAAAAAGGAAAAAAAAAAAAAGGAAAAGCCCTCCCCTAGCCCCCTTGCCAGTTCTCCCCTCCCTGCCCTGAGCCCTCTCACCCTGTCCTGACTTTTGTACAGGCTTCTTCTCTTGGGAGTCTCATTTTATATCCAGTTCGGAGAGCTTCAAACCAAGGAGAGACTTTGCAGACTTCCTATCTAATCCCTCCAGGGGCCGGGGGCAGCAGCCCCCCGCCTCCCTCCTCAATGTAAATCTTGTGTGCTGTTGTCCCCGCTCCCCCCCCCCC